CATTATGACTGAGTAAGTTGCTCTCTACATCAAAGATATATCAATTCGCTCGCTCGTTTACTATTCGCTCGTTTGCAGGAGATATGGATAGAGGGAGGCTACGGAAACGTGGGTGTCTCTGTGGAGTTTGTCTTTCTTTTTTTAGAATGCGAGTGATCGTGGGTGTGGGAACTTGCGTGGATGAGAGCAGAGATCTGTGGTGTGCGGTAGAAGGATGGAGGGCTTGGAGGATACATTTTGTTGTGGTTGATATATGGTCCTGTCTTTTCCCTTAGTTATTGTGTGCTAAAGTTGAGAGCTGTGCATTGAATGACCTTCCCCGCTTTTGTCTTGTAGAGCTTTTTGTGCCTAGGTCATCGTCGCTTGATCGGTATTTTCGTTTTCGATCCGTCGTAGCCGATAACTCCTTCGTTTCAAGTCGTTGGGCGGTCGAATATTTTCATCTACCCGCTAACTGAAGCCGGTCGGTTCGCGAAGACTCAGATCCGACTTCCGCCATCGGTAAGGGGCCGGGCAAAGTCTCTGATAGCCGAGGCCACCACCTTGCATATAGTGAACTCCACGCACAGGACGCTCCGCGGTCCTCACCTCCAATTCTCGCCCCATCTACTCGAAGAAGTGGAGTAAGCGGGAGCTGACTATTCCCTCTAACCCCACTAAAATTCCAATGTCGGGTATCGATACCGACGTCTTTTTCACTGCGGTGATGCCGAGGCGGTACCCGCAGTGCTTGGGTTTGTTGACCTAGCTGCGGAAACGGTTGAGCGGCGATTGGGTGCTCAGCCAGGGTGGAGGGAAGCAGGGTGTTAAGGATGTGCTTGATGTGGGGGGTAGGGGCGCTCGGGTGCTTTCTTGGCAGAGTATTGTCCAAGCGGAAGAAGAGAGAAGGAAGGATGAGCTTCGGGAGAGAACAGGGAAGCCGCCACCTGGCCCGGGCAGGAAGGAACCACCGGCTACGAGGGAGGGGAGTGGATTGCGGGCAGTGGTCGTAGAGGCTCTTGGATGATACTCTGTTTATTCCTGAAGTGCCGGATATCTATTTGGAAAAACCTACACTACACGCTGGGCACCATGATGGAGAAGGATAAGGTTCAGCCGAGAAAACTCTAAGATTTGGTCATTGCTACAGACAGAATCCGCCTGATAGGAAAATATTTTTAAACCGCCAAACCATTGAACAGCTCTTGTCGCACCTAAACCCGAACGGCCGCGTCCTTCGATCATCGAAATAGGCATGCAAATGGGCTTCGAAGCTGTCACCTACACCCGCTCCGCCATCCTTGGGGACTGCATCCAGGAGGTTGGCAAAGCTTTCCAATCCCCCCCGACCAAGAATGCCGGTGGCTTCGCCAACCTCCCTATCGAAAAGGAGCCCTGCACTACAATCTCCCCGTGCACGAACCAAGAGAAATGCTCTTGTTCCCCTCTGGCCCTACAGACGGCACCAACCGCAATGACTACTGCCTCCCCTTGCAGCGCTATGAATGCCCCAAACATCTGCAGACTCATGGATGAGTCATCCAAAAAACAAGAGACCATGAAGATCTCGAGTACTCATATGTCTCCTTCCTTCATGGTATCGACCGCCGCGCTGACATGAAGAACTCAGATTAATCCAACGATAGACGGCTTTGGCATCACTCCCTTCGACGGCAAACCCAATACGCCAATTCAGAGCCCATACGCAATGCAATAACTCTGCAATTCCAGTTAGACCCTTCTGTGTGTCATACGCCTCGACATTATACTCGACTTATGCACTGCGACGGGCTCCACCGAACACTGAGTTGTCCCCTAGAGCCTTAGAAAATAGGAGAACAGAGAGTCGAGGAAGAGTGGGTGGGGTGATCTCTGGGCGCTTGGAGCGAAGGCTAGCACAAGCTGAAACATAAAGATTGGTGGCGGCAGCAGGAAGACATTGTCAAAGTTTGTCACAATCAAGGACCCCCACGGTGATGGGGTAAGGGCTATTGTTAATAATAAGACGACCACCTTTCTGAAGGCAAAGAAAAAGCAGGGGAAGAAGGCAAAGAAGGCTGCAGGGCTTAGAGGAAGTGGGATGCTAGAGAGAGTCATCTCGAAATGGTTAGGGCGCATAAGGAGCAGAAGAAAAGAAGGCTGCAGGAGAAAGGAATGGCGGGGGAGGGGACCAGGGAGAAGCTCGAAGAAACGATTAGGATGTATAGAAACTGGAGGGGAACGATGCAGTTACGGGTGCAAACACGGAAAAAGGTGTAGGAGGCGATTAAAGGGGCGGGGTGCAATCGCGGTTTTGCGCTCACAATGTAATCATATTTTCTTATCTGCAGCATAGGCCATCAGTGGGTGGGATGTACATATGCGGCTTCTCAATTTTTGTAAATCATTTACCCAGCTCTGAAATGTGTTAACTGCAGCAGCTATTGGTGGTATTATTCGAAAAGGTCACTTAATTATTGGTGAAAAGGTACCACCAACCCGACCACTCCCGAATCCACTGGTCTCTTCCATCACCCGCCCAGCAGTTGTGAGAACGGGGGAGCTGTATACCGGCGCGTTGGTGCCCAGGAGGAGTACGCGGGCAAGTGCGGTCGATGGTGGGGCTGCCTGGAGGTGGTATCTTTGGCAATCATTTAGTTGGGATTGGAATCTTGTCGTTGGGTTTTCTCCCTTCGAGTATTCTATAATATTAAATTTTTGACAGGGTTTTTTTTATATATTCCTGTGTTTAGCTGACACGAGCCTGCTGTCGTCCACCCGGCCGGACCCGGCGCAGTGTCTTTCCGATGCGTGGCTTGGAATATTGGTGTCGGTCGAGTGATGT